TGGCAGCTAAATAAACTTACATTTTCAGTTTTATTTTCACATTCTATATACTGTAGTTTCCAACTCTACTAGTAAAAGATTGTGTATATTGCATAGTTGTGCTTGGAGTCCATTGTTTTATTTGTGATAACGCAATGAAACATGCTAAAGGGTGTAGACATAAATGTTGGCCAGGCTGTCAAACAAAGAAATTGTGAACACATGCAAAAACAAGAGAGAACCAACAAATTATTAATAATCGAATATGATGTAGTCATTGCTATTTCCTGTGAGCTTTTTGTTTTTTCTATGCACTTTTTGTTTTTAATTGTAAAATAAAACCTGGGCTGTAGTTTATAGCTTTTTTGCCAAATAATTTTGATAGATAAATACCTTAACCAAGTTTAGTGTTTTGTTCTTTCCTCCTATTTGTGATCCAGGACCACAAAACCTGTCACATGGGTCAATTTTTTTTTTTAAATGGAGATTTATACATTACCTGAGAGCTGAATAAATAAGCTTTCCATTGATGCATGGTCAGTTAGTACAGGACCTTTAAAGTTGCCTTTAAACTTTAAAATCGCCTTTAAAGTTGTCCATTTATGTTCGCAATTGTGCTGCATTCACTCTCTAAAATAAATGTTGTATTTATTTATAAAGTAGGAAGGTAGGAAATTTCAAAAATATCTTCATGGAACGTGATCTTTACTTAATATCCTAATGATTTTTGGCATAAAAGAAAAATAGATCATTTTGACCCATACAATGTATTGTTGGCTATTGTCACAAATATACCTGTGCTACTTGTGACTGGTTTTGTGATCCAGGGTCATATTTAAAATATTTAGAAATATAAAATACATTCCTCATATTTTGGCGGATTAAAGGGTAATTCCACCAGTGGATACATGAGTATGTATTGAAAGAGGGTCATATGTGTAGTAGAATAGTATCATAAATTTCTAATTTGGGTCCTTCTTGGCCAATAAAAGGCAGAAAATTACTTTTTAGTGCTTGTGAATTGTAGACAACAACCCCCAGAGTGCATTGCAATGCTCAGCTCCGCAGGCCACTCCCACTACTTCGGCCATCAATGTAAACTAGAGTTGAGCTCCACTCTACGCTACCACCTGGAAATCATTTCGCACAATGAAATCAGATAATGCACGCTAATATAATATGACGACCTAAGAGCTTCAAGGCGGCGCCCGCGGCATCCGCCAACGGATTGGCGTGATTCTTTTTCGGCTTCAGACAATCGGCACACTCACTCTGACTCAGGCACCGAAATTTTCGTTCTTATTCGGTCTGGTTACCATTTACGGTGGAACCGGTTCCCTATTGGCACCGCGTTTTGGTACCCAACCCTATCCATAATGTATCTGTCTGTGTATTCAGTACCTTCGTCCCCCCAGTATGACTGGATTTCTAACAATGGAAATCTTAATGCAAATGGGTGGAGTGTCCCTTTAATTGACCTTGCTGGCTAATTCAAAGCAAATCCTACTTCCGTACATCACTTTTGGCAAAATTGCGCAGCCCTTCATAAGCACAGAAAACCTGAAGGGTTTTTTTTATTTTTATCAGAATAATTATAACTAGACTTTTTTCACCCAAATTGTGCAACCTATTTAACATTTCCAGCACCTGTGCCCCAGTATCTATTCATAAATTCATGCTCATCCATCACTAAGTCTTGGTACTTCAGCTCTGAAAGCAAAAGCGACTTGGGGCTAACAATCTCTCTGCAGAGTTGGCACGTAGCCTCCCACAATTGAAGGTGATGGCCTTTCGCTGAATTACTTTGTCCTTAATCAATGACACTGCGAGTAAGAAATATATTCTGAAAAATGAGGACGAGCCGTGTTATCAATCAAACATATCTGCGTTGTGTCTAATTGATTAGCCAAATACATCACTACGTCTTGTCAGCGTGAACATTCATCATTTAACAAGGATGAGCGAGTGTTATGAGAAGATGCACAGGGAAAATCAACTGTAAAATCCACCAATCAAACTCAATGTAGCTGCCTAAACAATCACACAGCAGGTTACTTTATCAGCACTTAGCAGACTTTAAATGTTTTGGGTTTTTTTTTACTTTCGCATTCACAGTTTCTAGCCAGAGTGCTGTTTCTATTGTGTATGTAAACAGCTCTGTTAGATGAGAAGGAAAGATTGTGATTTTCAGGAAATAATTTTTTTTTAAAAGCTTTAGACAGGCATTGTGATGCGGACAAACATTCCCTTGACATACATCCTGGAGATGGAAGTAGGAAACAATTAAGTGAATCAGCACAGAGAGAGACTAGTTTCCCACAACAACAGTGAAACCGGGTAGTGGATACTTTTTATCCAACATCCTATGGCATATAAAAATATTTTGTCCCAGACACACAAGCAAATGCTTCCTTTGATAATTCTTTTCACTGTATTCCAGTTCGGAAAGAACGAAATGCAGTATCTGTTGTCAAAGAAGGATAGAGACCTAATGGTTTTTGAATGTTGCAGAGAAGAGGGGTGCACTAAATTATTTATGCACCTCTTTCAATAAAGTGACATTCAGTTATTCAAATTACGACATTTAAAAATGGTTTGGTCCTCTCGACCCTGTATGCATGAACCTCAATGTGACCCCGAAAGCAGAGCCAAAACATCTCCAGCATTAAGCATGTGAATACAGATAAGGGAAAGCACTTAAATGACTTCTAGCCAGGTGAAATGTGTGATGTTTGGCGCCCCTAGTGGCACCAAACTAAACTGCAGTCTGTTTGTTACACACATTACTTTTTAACATACTGCATTTTATAGGTGTTCGATTGATAAACACATTGTTAACATTTTAAGGGCGGGGATGGGGGGACTATCCCTGTACTATCTAAATAAATCGTTTTGAAGAAAGTCTTATGCTCAACAAGGCTGCATTTATTTGATCAAAAATACAGTAAAAACAGTATTATTGTGAATTATTGATATTTGATAATTTAAAATGGCTCTTTTCTACTTTATTCCTGTAAATAAATGGCAAATCTCAATTTTCAGCAGCCATTACTCCTGTCTTATGAGTCACATGATCCATCAGAAATCATCAAAATTATGTTAATTTCTTTTTATTATTAAGGTTGAAAATTGTTGTTCTGCTTAATACTTTTATGAAAAAGAATTCTTTGATGAATAGAAAGTTCAAAAGAACAGACATTTATAATAATTATAAAGATTTCAGTCAAAAAAAACTCTTACTGAGCATAAAACAGTAGTGCACAAACATGCTTCCATTGAGGACAACACAGTTTGGTTCATAAGCTTCATGCTTTTGTCTAATTTTTGACTCAAATGATGGAGAAAATTCTCTAGAAAAACTGCAGTCAAGTCACGTGTTTTCTTCTGTGCATTAACCGGAGGTTTGAGTTGACATCTTTCTATAATTGTAAATGATGTTTTTAGGGTGCCTGTGGACAGTGTCTATCCAGAGAGAGCCATTTTTGACTCCAGTGGCGTAGATGGTGTTGTTGTCCTTACTTATTAAAGCCTGTGTGACATAGATCCAATCAGGAGTTAAGTGTCAGGCCACAGAGGTCTGCCTAAGGCTAAAGCTCCTTGATTAATGTGTTGAAATTTCTTCATGTTGTTCCCATTGAAAATAATGAGGAATGAGTCATCACAAGCTTCCCTCCGAGTCTCGTCTTCTCATGAATAACAATCATTTTTCAGCTCCTTTAGGAACATGAAATCTGCAGATGCACCAGAAATGTATATAATTAAAAGCTTAGTGTTAATTAATTTACAGATTTTGTTTGAATTTCTGTTGTAAAATGCTTATTGTGATCCTATGGTAATATATGGTAATAAATTATTATGAAATGATAGATAAATCTAACATTTAAAGTCTCTGTAAAGTCAAAATTAATATGTGTTCTGAGATACCACCGAAAAATGTGTTATTAGCCACCCAGACATCACGAACAAACGTCAGCGATTGGTTATGGCAGATCCAAAGTGGCTCAGGGCAGATCCCATAGTTTTAAACTTGAACAGAGTACACACCTACAAGGAAGTTAACGCTTGTCAATAGAGCGAGGCCATACTCTCGAGAGTCTGAGAGTCTGGTGGGACCAGGCTTGCAGAAAATGCCCCTGCACAAATAAGCTAGACCTTTTCTGGCTGTTACAATTAAAGTGAAATGAGAAGTCAATAAAAAGTATTGCTTACTGCATTACAAATACAGTAGAATTGCTCATGTTGCATATCATATTGAGTATATGAATGCAATTTCCAAACAAAGGTATTTAGTACGCATGCTCAATGACTAAATTCAAAATTTGTATTTGCAAATTCTCTCATCATTATAAACAAAGTTCAGAAAAGATGCAAGAGATTTAAAGTTATGCAATTTCGCACAAACTCCCGTTATAATCACAGAAGCAGTCTAGTTGCACTAGACTGAAATCTTGGATCTTGGAGAAGTTCTTTGATTGCTTTCTCTATATAATTTCTTCCTAGTTTGAATAACCATTTTGTTTTTCATGCTACTGAAATTACCAATATGAAACTTTTATTTTATCTGTAAAAAGCAATAAACGGTTAAATGGTTCTCTTCGTTTGTTTTGTGCTTTTTCAATATCAAGAGCAATAAAAAGCAATAATTATTTTTGTCATGATATTGCAGCTTTACCCTCTAATGAGTTCCTGTTTTTTAATTCATAGGCTATTTTACATTATGCATTTTTGTGTAAATACATGTACATAAGCAGCATTAAACAGTCAGATAGCATGTCAGATGCAGATTCTGTTTCACCTTGCAGTATAAAGATGACTTTCATTGTAACAGTGTAACTGTGATTAATTGTAACTGGTTTAATTGAAGTATTTGACATAAAAAACAGCAGATACATTTAATAAGGTAATATTTTAAAAATTGTCCCTACAAAGGTAAAAATGCCCCTGGAAGGCAATTGATCATCCATCAATTCCAGGGGACAAATACTCTCACCCTAACATGGATATAATGAGATGCTTTTTACCTGTGCATCCATGAGCAGGTGTCTCATTAGAGCCATGGATTGGCTCAAAGTATCTCTCTCGGTGGGCAGAAAGGTGTCCTCTTCGTGGCTCATGGCGTTGGGTCTCTTCACCATGAAGTGAGCGATCTGGTCGTTCAGGCTGTTCAGAGATTGCACAGCTGGAGAGAGCAAATGATAGATGGATCAGAATCATTCCTGAGTGCACACACTTGTACCATATCCCCTATATGGGTTTCATATTATATTATGGTCAAGCTTACATTTAACAGCAACAACCGCCCATACATAAAGCACTGTTATAACTTCACTGATGGAATAATTGCCTTGTCATTTATATCAGATAACATGAGGCCATGAGACTCTCTGAGATGTTATTGCTTTTCTTAAATTGCTCTGGGCAAAAAGAACATAAAAATAAGCCAGCATTGGCACTCAAGCGTCAACCATTGCAATCAAAAGCCGTTTTCACACGTGTGTAGGGCTTTCAGTGTTTCTGCAACTCTTACAGAAAACACACTGAGCATTTACCCAGTAATAGCCAAACATTGTAAAGTAACTGTCATTGTGTGTCATTAAGAATGCTTGCCATGATATATATATATATTCATGGTTTCCACAAAAAAAAAAAATTCAACATTTAAAAAAAATATATATATATATGAAATATTTCTTGAGCACCAAATCAACATATTAGTAGTGATGGCAATTTCAAAACACTGCATCATGAAGCTTCAAAGCCTTTATGAATCAATGATTCGGAGCATGTATCGAACTGCCAGATTTAGCTGCGCCATTCATTAGACAAACAAAACAAACCCTAACAATTGATAAAATAACATGTTTACACACCACAATCTTATTAGATGATTAAATAATTGCATTTGAAAGATTTTACTTTCAGTAAAAAAAAATGCAATAGATTTTAAAAGGCGTTTTGACCCGGGTTTTTGTTGCATTTACACTGTTCTGACCACTAGGGCTCACCGTAGAGACGGGTGTCACATTGTTTCGAAGCCTCGCACAATATGGCACATTTGATTTAACGGTTTCAGTGTTTCACGAAGCCTCGATATCACTACATATAATTAAAATGATTTCTGAAGAATCATGCGACACTGAAGACTGTGGTGATGGTTGGATAGTTTTTAAATTTTAGAAACATTTCACAATATTACTTTTTTATTGTTTTTACTGTAGGCCTATTTTAGATCAAATAAATGCAGCTTTGGTCAGCATGAGTAACTTCTATCAAAAAGATAAATAATCTTACTAACCCTAAAACTTTGAATGGTAATTTATATACAAGCCAATATAAATGGTAATTAATCTACAAAGAACATAACCCAAAAAGTTATAAACTGCTTAAATCCAGATTCAGTCAGATTATGTCTGGCTTTCCCTTTCTTTCAATGGTCCACTTCAGACATTCTACTAACTATAATAAAGGTGATGATACACGGGGCAACTTTTAGAGCAATATTGCTGGGCAATTGTTGCTTGGGCACTTTCCCTTTGAAAATGGACAACAAATTTCCAATGTCAAGACCAAAGTGATCTGTCTGTTTTGTCATTGAGAACTCAGCTATCATCATTGCAGCGTGTCTAGTCTATAATACCACTTGATGGCCAAGCACACACACAGCTGATGCGAATTCTCCGCCCCCACGTCAATATCAGGACCTCGTCAGTATTTCTTTCACCCTTTCATTGATGGAGAGTGCTACATTGTGTGAGAGATTATTAGCTCCAAGTGAGAATGTTAGTGTGAAATTGAACAGTATCTATATGCCAATGTTGTTTTCAATAAAAAACATTTGCACAAAGCAAACCGATCCACTTTTCCATGTTGATAAGAGCATTAAAATGAGAAAAAAAAAATAATGGGACAAAAGAAAAATCAAGAGACATTTAGAATAGATAAAAATGTTTGAGTTAACTGACATTAATGCGATTAATCACGATTCTGTCACAGTCCTCCGTCTGCACCAGTCTGTCTTCGTCATCTGCACTACACTTCCCAGGATCCTCTTGTCTCCACTCCTGAACTCACTCCCTCATCAGCCACCTGTTCCTCGTCTTATTCATCAGTTTCACCTGTCTTCACATCGTTATGTTTGATTCCTGTCTGTATTTAGTTCCATCTCATTCAGTCTGTCTTGGTTGGTCGATGTTGATTGTTACTCGGTGTTATCCTGTCTTCCTGCCTGTAATTTTGAATTAAATAAGTATCTTCGTGTGAATTCGGACTCCTCCTGTTCCTTCTGCCTGCACTCCTGCACCACCCCGTGACAGATTCAATATTTTAATTTCACTTGACAGCACTAAAAAGTTTATATAATAAAGGAACATTTTGGTAAATACATTTATAGTGTTTACAGTTAATGTTTTTTTTTGCTTTTGATTCACTTTGACATGAATTTGACCTGTATGAAAAAAAAAACTTTTTACCATGTTGCAATTCCAATATTTCATCACAGTGAATAACCTGGGTTTGCCATCATTGGCAAAGCAGTGCCCATGTGCATGACCTCAGCTGGTATGTGTTTGGATTGCAACCCTTCAGATGATTCGGCTCATTGGCATGCCGTCTGCCTTTCTCTAATCCTTCTCCCATGGGATCGGCTGCTCCCCGTGCAAGCTTCCATTTACCATTAATCCCTCTCACTTAGCGAAGGCTGCCAGAATTATTGTAAGTCCATTACCACTGTAGAAATCTCACATCCATGCCCATTTTAATGCATTTATTCATAGTTCCCGGCAATCACGCCTGACCCTTGTTTTCCTCTATCAATCAGAGCATCAGCGTATCCAACAAATTACTTGAGGCACAGCAGAATTCTTCCACAAAACATCACATGGAAGAGTATCCAGTATGGCATTGACCTCAGCTGGTCAGGAAGCTAATGCTGACACATACAGCATGCAATTAGTTTTAGTTTGGCTCATCAGCTTTGATGGCAAACAAGTCAGTGCTGCAGGCTCAGAAGAAGTGAGAATTTGACAGATAGAAAAAGAGGTCATCATCCACTCACCCTCATGTCGTTCCAAACCAATATGACTATATTTCTGCTGAGAAACAGAAGAAAAAATACTGATAAAATCTACCTTGGGTTCAACATTAATGTATGAGAGAGTTTCAGGACAGCTGTCAGAACGGTCGCGTGCACTACTAGGCCAGCGGTAGGCTATATCTTATATTTTATCATGTACATATATTTTTATACCTTGTTGCAAATGTAAACAGTTTGCTTTCTGTGATATTGGGCTGTGAAATCATCTTCTCTGAAATCTACTTTCAAACTTGTCAGGTAGGAAAAATGATCTCCAAAACAGTGATATTGTGACTTGTGAGTTTTCTGTGCAATTATAATCAATATTGCATTTCCAGGTAATAATGCTAATTGTATGGAGGCCGAGAGCTCAACGCTTTACAACTGAAAATACTTATAGAGAACACCTGTGTTGTCAAACTGATGAAGATGTTTTCTTGATTTGCTTTTTTTCTATGGGCATTATGTTTTCATTAGTTGAAACTCATTGAGTCAAGTCAAGTCACATTTATTTATATAGCGCTTTTTACAGTACAGATTGTATCAAAAAGCAACTTCACGGTGATAACATGAAAATAATACAACAAGTTTGTTTCTAGAAGAAAACTGCATCCACCTTAAGTAAGGCAGATCAATAATATTTGTTGAATATTAAATGTCCTCAACTAAGCAAGTCAAAAGCCAAGGCAACAGTGGCAAGGAACCAAAACTCCATCAAATGACAGAATGGAGAAGAAAAAAAAAACCTTGGGAGAACCCAGGCTCAGTCGGGGGCCAGTTCTCCTCTGGCCAACGAAGGAACAGTGTGTGATTCGTGAAGCATTACAAGTCAGATTGGATCGGAACATTCAGAGTATTTATCCATTTCCGTCTGTTTGGAAGACGAAGAAATCACGTTGGGGATCAGTGCCGATGGCTTTCGTGTCAATAAGGCTAAGGATGAGTTGGGATGTGTCCAGGCGCAGGTCCACCATATAGGCTCCCTCGGGGTAAACAGAGAGACTAATATTAGCGTAGACGCCATCCTTATGATGTACCAAGTACATCAGGATTTACGGGACGTGTTCCCGGTTTTGAGTTAGTTTAGATCAAATGTGCCTAATTTTAAATTAAGGAAGTCTATAGTGTGTTATGTGTATCCTAGGGCAAAGAGATGTGTTTTTAGTCTAGTTTTGAACTGGCAGAATGTGTCTGCTTCCCGGACAATGTTAGGAAGATTGTTTCAGAGTTTTGATTCTAAATAGGAAAAGGATCTACTGCCTGCAGTCTATTTTGATATTCTTTTTGATATTCTACGTAGGTATTATCAACTGGCGGGAATTTCGAGATCGCAATAGGCGTGAAGGACTATTGCGTCAAGAGCTCACTCAAGTACTGGGGAGCTAAACCATTAGTGCTTTGTAAGTAATCAGCAAAACTTTTACATTTATATGGTTTAATAGGCAGCCAATGCAGGGTTGACAGAACCGGGCTAATATGGTCATATTTCCTGGTTCTGGTAAGAACTTGAACCAGCTGTAGTTTTTTTTATTAAGCGTGCAGGTCAACCAACCATTGAGCTATCTCAGACACTGTATAATTGTCTTGAAAACTAGCAGCGCAGTCTAATCCCAAAACGTCATACAGCTGACGCTTTTGACCATACGTCAACATCCTACGTTTTAGGGAACCCTTTAACGTCGGTTAGATGACGCTATCTAATCCTAACCCTACCCCAGACCTAAACCTACCCCGTCGCCTAACTGACGTTAAAGGTAAAGCATCAGTTGGATCGTCATCTAACTGACGTTAAAGGGTACCCTAAAACGCCGGATGTTGACGTTTGGTCAAAAGCGTCAGTTGTATGACGTCTTGGGATGAGACTGTGTTAAAACTAGCAACACTAAGGGTGCTTTCACACTGGGCTCATTGGCTGAGGTCCGAGGGCGAGCGCGATTGTTCCTGGTTGTACCGCAGCGTTGGTCTTGTTCAACTTGATTCTATCGAACCCTAGTGCGTTTACGTACATATTACGTCATAGCAAACGTGCACGGCACATTATAGAAAACAGAACTCGGGTCCGAAAAAAAAAAGATCCCACCTGTAATGCACTGACTAACATTAACTAA